ATCAAGTTGAGTTGTGAGTGGCTGGGAATTCTGAGCAGAATCTCAAGGATAGCTTTGAAGGGCCTTGGTACCTTTGTTGGCTTTGCTTCTATTGAAGGCTAGAATGATCAGTGAACTGATTGTTTCTTTTGTATTTGTTTTGTTGATTGTTGGTCGTTGTTTTTCAATTCTCAACCCTTGTATTTATAGGAATTTTGGTTCCTAAAAAATATCTGGAAAATATCTCCTGGAAAATATCAGTTGTGATGAATATCTTTTCCTTGTAACTTGTGAAGAAAATATCCCTCTTTTGGAGGCACATGGATGTTTTGCAGAGATACTCAGCATGCTTTCTCTAAGAATTCCTTTTGAATACCTTCTGGCCATTTTTGTAACTTGTGCTTCAAAATATCTTAATTGATGAGACCACACGGGTCTGTAGTTCCTGAGACTTAAATGGCTATAGAAGATAACTTTTGCTTTTACCTTTCTGTTGATATGGTCTTGAGTTAATGAAGGTCAGACCTCAAGTTGTTAACTTCTTTGTCATTCTTATCATATACTACACCACATTTTGCACTTTGAAGCCATCGTTTCACTATATACTTGTCTGGAAAGTGCTCAACCTACTTCATTCTTAAAAATACTAGGATGTGTCGGCACGGAATACCCCAAAATTCAAATCCTTTGCAGCTGCAATAAGCTTTATCGGCATCTTTATCATGCACAAGCTCCTTCATCCGTGTCACCCCCGGATTTACCCGCTCACTTACTTTGTACCTGCACTGGGTCTCATCTTGCTCTCCAAGTTCGAACAAGCATAAAAGGCTTCTGAAGTCTTCCCTCTCAAACATTTCAAGAATTCCCTGAGTGTAAATGCGTGCCATTTGATGTTGCATTGGTGTTCGAAATGGCAGTGGAGGTTTTTCATTGGTATCAACATGATCTGAACCAAGAGCTCTTTCAAAACGTACAATGAATTCCATCAATGTGTTTTTTCGGTTAATATATTGTTTGAAAAATACATGACAGCTTTCAGCCCGTTGACTACTGGACACTCCCAGCCGAAAACACGTGTTTTACATATGATGGAACCCAATTCTCCCGCAAAGCATGAATCGATCTCAGCCACGGATGGTCTTTCAGCCCATTGCTTGTGATGATTTCATCCCATTTCGTATCAAATTCTTCTTTCGTGTCCATACCCCATATGCATTTGCACATTTCCGAAAAACATTCCCTAATGCCGGGTTTCTCCATAAACTTATTCAAGATATGCCATATGCAATATCTATGGAATGTTGTTGGGAGAGTTAAAGCAATTGCCTTTGACATGGCTGCATCTTGATCAGTGATGATCATTTTGGGTGGCTCACCTGGCATGGCTTTCTTGAATTCTTCGAACAACCATACAAATGAATCCGTGGTTTCACTAGTTAGGAATGCATAACCAAACAACACTGTCTGCCTATGGTTATTAACGCCTAACAAAGGCGCAAAGACCATCCCATAGCGGTTTGTGTTGAACGTCGTATCAAATACCACCACATCCCCAAAAAACCATAAGCTCGTCTTGACCTTGCATCTGCCCAGAAAACATTTCCCATCCTTCCTTCCGAATCTACCTCCATATTGAAATAAAAGGATTCATGTTTTCCTTTCTCAGCCAAAAAATGCTCATTCAGCAGCTCTGCATCATGCCCAATCACCTCCCCATGCACGTCCCTTGCATAATTATAGACATCTCTCCGAACAAACCCAACATTTTCCAATCCCCCTACTTGCACCTCAAGAAGGCTTACCTGTTTATGTACAGGGATATTAACTTTGATCATATGTGCACTATAGGCCTTTGTAGACTCTGTTAAGTTATGGTGAGATCTCAATAGATGGACTTTATCAACTGTGGTCATGTCATGGTTGTATACCTCATTGAATCCTATAACAATGTACTTATTCTTATCTTTTACCTTCAAAATTGCAAGTTTAGCCTTGCACCCAGTTCAAGTACAATCTCGCTGTCTTCTCTTACGACTAACAGTGCTTGTCAACGAATACCTTTGTTTACAGCATACATATTCTTTCCTTGTTACCTCTCCTGTGAATGTGCACGTTCTCGTTGTAGAACATCGAATGCCGAATCCGGCTTTCGCGGCATACATATTATAGAAATTGAACACGTCCTCACTGTTCTTGCAATTTAACCCTGAATATCACATCACCACCATCATATATGACATGAAAATCACTCTCTGTGAAACATTAAAGACCTACATACACACTAACGTAACTCGTGCTGATGCCCAATATTTGGCACATGCTTTCAAACATCTTTAAAATATATTTTAACTAACATATGACATCAAAATGACTCTCTCGTGAAACATTAAAGGCATACATACAACCTAATCTGACTCATGCTGATGCCCAATATTTGGCACATGCTTTCAAACAGCTTTAAAATATATATTAACTAACATATGACATGCAAATGACTCTCTACTGAAACATTAAATTGACAAATACAATATATGGCTTACCTCGTAATTGATTTCCAACTTCAAAATTTCAATAAATATGACAACGTAACGTAGCCCTTTTAGATCTGGACGTCAACCCCAAAATTTTTTCATCTTCCTCAACTCCTGTTTCGCCCGCGCTTAAGGATTTCAAAACCAACACAGCAGAACCACAATAGTACGGTCAGCACTTTCCAACTCAATGCCAGTTTCGACGTTGCTCAAGGATTGACGTATGTTCCATTCCCAAAAACCCAACCACAAAGATGAAATTATAAAATCCAAGATTCCTTTGTTTCGCCTGAATGGGAAACCCAGAAAAATGAGGATACCGTTTATGTGTTCTTCCTCAAACCGAAAAACGATTAACAGGGGCTCTCTCTCTTCAGTATTACAGTTCTTCCTCAATTAAAGCTGATAAAAAAATGGCCTCCTCATTGAACTGAGTGAATAGCTGGTTTGGAGGGGACTTCTATTTTGGAGGGGACGTCTGTTTTGGAGGGGACATTTTGGAGGGAGGAGAGAGAAGAAGGCCTCGTTCTAATACAACACTTACACTTACAATTGCTTTTCATACAACCGTTAGATTAGATCCAACGGTGTTCTCATGTTATGTTCTCACATAGGCGTTCTCACTAGATCCTTGCCCTTAATTGGGAGCTTATTGCTAGAGGCAGGCGGAGGTCGCTTCCTTTGCCAAGATTCTAAAGGGCTTGGCCACATGGGCCCACAATTCCGAAGTGCCTATCAAGGCTCAAGAAAGAGTAGCATATGTGGGCCCATGTTCCCAGCAAGCCTTATACAAGGTTTGGTTGGGCTCAATGGAAGAAGCCCATTAAGGCTAGACTTTATTTTTTTGAAGTCTTATACAAGTGATGTACATCCTCTCTCACGATAATATACTAAACTTACACACACTACATGGATGCTAGGACTTAAACCCAAGACCTTTCCTGGAGAAACAATTGCTCCAAACCACTACACTAGTGAGTCCTTTGCATCAAGACTTGACATTAGACAGCTCAAATCCTCAAGATCTCCTTATTTATTACACCAACAATAAATAAGGATTTGGGTAATTATCCCAGCATCTCGATTCCAATGGCCAGAGGTTTAATTCACATTGATGTTATTTTGTAATTTACATTTATAAAAAATGTTCTAGAGGTAGTGAAAGGAGGTGGCAGTCGAAGGTGTGATTCGATGTGGTGATTAGAGTTGGTGGCATCCAGCTGTGATTGCCGATTGTGACACATTGTGGTCAAAGCTGACATGCGACAATTATCTATATAAAAAAAAGCTGAAGGACATTGTGGGAACAAATAATTTGGCTTCGAATCACAAGGCACCACGTGGACAAGAAGGATATCTCCTAGGTCAATTAATTGAGCCCAATTATATTTGGCCAATTAATTGATACTAAAAATAGGGATATTATCTTAAATATGAGATATTAGCTTTATTTTTGAGAATATAATCACCAATTAAGAGATAATATCATCTAATTATGGTATTATTCTATTTTGGAGATATCATCATTAATTAAGTGATTTGATCCCAATCAAATCCCTAATTGATTCAATATCTACAATTTAGGGAAAGAATATCTTCCTTCCAAATAAGAAGATATTCTTTGAAAAACCTTAGATGCCTAGAGCCCTATAAATACATGGCTACATTCAATACACAAGGTAAATCTAAAACTCAATCCTAAAACCTTAAACACCTTAAATTTCTCTCTCTCTCTCTCTCTCTCTCTCTCTCTCTCTCTCTCTCTCCTCTATCACGACTCCGGCCACCCAGTTCTCCCCATAGAGAAAACTCCATATCCTTTTTTAGTCTTTGGCCAACACCCCCGGGTGTGGTCTTTTACTCAAGTTTGATTTTACAAGAATCGAGGAAGAGAGAGAAAGAAGTTCAAAAGGTGAAGGATTTTTAGAAACAGACACAATGATAATTCCTTATCATTTCATTAGGCAAAATGGGCTCAACGGGAAATAAACATTGTGCCTTTTTCTAAACCATTAGGCTTTTGGTTTACAAGTAATATATACACACATATATATAAAGATGTCAACTATAGTGTTTTCAAAAAAAAAAAATAATGAATCAAATTGGTAAATAACTTCTATTTTAAGGAATAATAAAATGGGTACGGAATAGAGACATAATTCAAACCATATAGTTGAAATGTTAATCTCTCAACATTTTGAACCAAACAACCAACATAATAGGGTCATTGATTGACTTGGAGAGTTGTTAACTAGTTTGCTTTTTAATTAGGCTTATTTGTTGAAATGCCTCCTGTGGTTTCCAAATAGTCTCAGTTTAACCCCTGACATTTCAAATGACTCAATCTCCCCCCTGAACTTCTATTGCTCGACCAAGGTTGCCCTATTATGTTAGTTGTCTGATAAAAACCGTTAAATCAACTCAAGTGGCATAGGTATTTTGGTAAATTTAACTATTAAAAGTTCAAAAATTCAAATTAAATATAAAAAATGCTTGAAATTATTTAAAATAGGTAAAAAATAAAGATAAAAATGTCTCTCTTTTTTTTTCCCTAATTGTCAGCCCCAACCACCTTCTCCCTCATCTCAACCAGCCCCACCGCCCAACCAAACCACACTTCATCAAGATCGGTTATTAACTAATGAATAAAGATGCATGCAAATTGTGACATTTGTGGTGCCCCTGTGGAGAATGTGGATCCTATTGTCAGGAATTGTTTAATGGCTTCTCTTGTTTGGTGCCAATCCTCCTTGCCGGTAAGTCTGAACTTGTCGCAGGATGACAACTTGATTACTTGGGTTGGAAAAATTTTACACAACTACACCTTAATGGGTTATGGGGTTGTGTGGTCTATTCTGTTTGCTTTCACATGCTGGTTCCTTTGGAAATGGAGGAACAAGAAGATTTTTGATCCTGGGTTTGTCTTCCCTCCCAATCATAGTCACATAATTCTTTTGGCTGCTGCAGATTAGCAACATGCCAACACTGATCTTGCTCATAAACCTATCCGCTCCCTAGCACCTCTATCCTGGTAGTACCCTGCTGCAAGAGTGGTTAAAATTAATACTAATGGTTGCCGAAATGGAGAGACTGGTCGCATTGCAGCTGGTGGTGTTCTTAGATCAAAAAATGTTGGGGCTACTCTATTTATCATGTTTATCATGAATGCAATATGGTGGCTGATAGACTTGCTAACTTGGGCTCTTACCTTGATTTGCGTCTCTGTACCTTTCAAGTGCCTCCCGACAGTATTAGGTCCTCTGTTGTTGATGACCTGCATGGTCTCTGTAGGCCTCGGACTGTAGTTTAGTGTTTTCTTTTGGGCATGGCCCCGTCTTTTCACAAAAAAAAAAAAAATTAAATAAATAAAAGCAAAGATGGAAACAAGTCATGCATTTAATTACTTAAAAGCATCTCCAAAGGAGATATCAAATGTAAAATGTAAAATTTGAATTTGATGGCTTATGTGGCAATTTGACACTTTGGAAAAAAAAAAAATTAACTCCACCCGAAATGCCAATATTCATATTAATTTATTATATTTTTAAAAGCAAATGGGACCTATATGATGCAAAAAGTTTAAAAGAGAGTAAATGATAGTGGGGTCCATGACTAAAAAAATATTAAAATAATATTTGACATCAAGCTTTTTGATATGTTATTTTTGACCTATCTCTTCCAGCCTTTAAATCCATATTGGATTTGACTACTCGGTTAGAGCAACTTTAACCTTCATTTTTGTCATTTTATATTCATGTGACAATTTGACATATCAATTAGAGATGCTCTAATAATCAATGTGCCACTAATATGGATAAAATGGTTTCACGGTTGTAGTTTTTAATAATAAGCGATAGAATATTATTGATTTGAAAAAGCTAATACAAGAAGTTTGAACTCGTATCAAGGGCAAAGGAAATTCCTTGGTCACGAGTTACAATCCTCGTACAGTACATTAGAAATGAAATTAGGAGGTTCCTCGAACCAATATAGAGAACCCCCGATATGCAAGGCAAAATTCGCTAAACAATGAGCCACACCATTGGTAATACAACGAATATGGGTAAAACCCTCCCCAGTGACCTGTGTCAACGAATATGGGTAAAACCTTCCCCAGTGACCTGTTTCAGCAAGCTCTTGGTATCCTCCACCACTGGTCTTATGACGGACCTATCTATGGAGCGACTTCAAAGTGTTGTAACGATCTGCAGAGCATCACTTTCAAAGACAACATTTTGAAAACCCCTTTCCATCGCCAATACTGTACCTGTTCTTGCAGCCAAAGCCTCTACTTGTGACGCAGAGAAAACATTAGTCAATTTAGTTGCACAACCCGCCACAAATTTGCCCATGGAGTCTCTCACAACCACACCGACGCCACCCTCCGTGGTCCCTGGCTTCCAAGCACCATCCACGTGTATTTTGAGACCCCAAGCAATTATTAACCCGCAAAAAATCTTGTAGCCTCAGAGATGCATTAAAGCTGACTTGTTCAGGCCTACTTTTCTTATTATTCCATAGCAATCCATTGCGCGCTTCCCAAATTGCCTAACCCACCATGAGAAAATTTGCAAAGTCATGACAGCTTAGTTGCTCTGCACAGCGAAATACCCAATCCTTGGGTGAATAAGTGTCATTATTCCACCTGCTACTACTTAAGGTCGAACTACGCCAAGCACAAATTGCAAAGATGAGATCTAGGAGCATCTAAACCGAAAAGGAGAAAAAGATAAAAACATGGAAGTTACAACACTTGAATTCCAACCTAAAAAGAAAAAGGATCAAGTTTAAACGCTTCCCTTTTTTTAAATATATATAGAATATTGATTGTGCGCGACAGGCATCAACTGTGGAAGAGTAGTGAATGGATTCTTGCTTAGAGAGGCAGACACGATTGTTACTTTTGGGTGGATGGCTTCAATTTTATGAGAAATTGCTTCAATGCTTTCAATCAATAGTATAGATGTGGGTTATAGGCCAGTCGTCAGTTGATCCTTTTGCATCTAAGTTTCAGTAACCTTTCCCTGTAAATTTGATTAATTTAGACCATCATTTGTATAAAAACAAAATGTAAATAATAAGGTTTCAGTTTGAAGAGTGGGAGTTTGTTTTAGTTTTTGCAAGATGTTGTGGTATTCTTTTTTCTTAATCGAATTCTTTTTATTTAGAATTTTTTAATATAAGGTTTTAATGTTGCTTCGTTTGTGCATCTTGAGTTTTTACTTTTATGGTGCAAATTGTACGTTGGTTCTAGTCTGAATGAAAGTCTTCCTTCAGATTTTTTATGAAAAAGAAAAAGTCATTGGCACAGGGGCATGATTGTTATGCAGTTGGTCCCTTTATTTTTATTTTTTATAGATAAACGAAGGGTTCATTTATTACTTTCTTTTTGGGTAAATGCCTGGTGTCGGGTTGGTTTCTTTAGCGGACCTTTAACCAAAAGTCATTAAAAGAAGAGCAGGGAAAGCGACGGAGCAGTAAGTTATTAAAAGAAAAGAAAGTGAGAAAGGAAAAGGAGCAATCCCAAGGGTAGGAATCGCATGAATATACATTGTCAGATTTGAAAGTTAAAGAAGCCAAAAATTGAATTTGAAGACAGCTCCCCACGGCACCTCCAGGAGAGTCTGCTAAAATAGCTCCTTCTTTTTAGCCACAGTATCTAAATGAGATTGAAAACGAAATCGAGATTCACAACAAATATGGAACTAGATAACATGCTTCTAGTTACATATCATGGAGAGACAAATATTCGCATACGGAAAACATATCTATAGGTGCACACCTATACTAAAAAAATAAAAGCACTTTCACTATGGTGTCATGGCAAAGGGCAAGGAAGGACAGTGATTCACATGAATAGTGACTGTCAAGGGCGGATCTATTACTAGGCTGGAGTGGGCTCCAGCCTAGGGGAAGATTTTTAAATATTAAATATAGTTAAGTTTATTCCTACTCCAATAAATATTAGCCCACTACACCAAATAAATATAATAAACTGATAATAGCCCAATTTAAGTAAAGTAAATAATAGCTTTGTTTAAAATAAGCCCATTCCTAAAGCATATAGGAAATAATCAATTTGATTAGAAGTAGAACTCATGTTAAGGCTCTACCAACTTGACCTATTCTAATCGTACTGATATTGAGCTACACCCACAGAGAGCAAACATCAAAAAAATTCTTCTAGCCACCCAAAACGCCATATTTGAACCTTGAGAGCCTAGAGGAAATAGCTCTCCTCCTCTAAAAAATTGTACCAACCTATCTTCAGTGGATTCTTCAATCTTGGTAAGTTTTTCTCTTTTTTTTATATATTTAATTTCCAATTTTAATTGTTGTGGTTAAGTTTTTATTTAATTTCCAATTTAATTTCCACTTCACTAGGTAAGCTCTTTAAATTTTTTTTTGCAATCAAACATATTTTTTTGAAGTTGGACAATGTGTTTGATTTGATATTTATTTATATTTTGTACTTTTTTGTGTTATATTTGATTGTAATGTGACTTTGTTTGATTTATAAAATTTTATTTACATTTTGTTTCATGAGAAAAAAAGCTTATAATATATCTCCTCTATAAAAAAAAATTATTTAGCCTAGCCCTATAAAAATTCCTGGGTCCGCCATTGGTGACTGTCCTACTTTTTTTTTTTTTTTGCTTTTCCACTTATTGTCATGGCAAATAAATGTAAAAACTATTCACATGAGATGTGAGGAGAGGAATTTGTATGGAGTTTTAATGTGGGAAGTAAAGAACATAGCTAGGTATTTATAGAATAAAAAATTCTGAATTTTTTGGTATTTTTTCCTTTTTTTTTTTATATTTAAATTGGTTGATGACATCTTGGATCAGTAAAGGCAGCAGCTTAGACAATTATTGCCTTTGGGCGGTCCTCGGGCCCATTTCTGCCATAGCAAATGAGCACCGTTTAAAGTGCTCTAACAGTGGAGAATGTGAATAGGAGATTCTCAACGCAAAACTCATGTCTCAAAGCTCTAATATAGGTTAAGCAACCGCTATACTTCGATTGTTCAACATTAACATCCTAATGGTTTAGTCTTTAATTAACTTTGAGAGGTTAAGCCATGCACACTTAGGAAGATAAATCGTTACATGCTTTTTTTTAAGAAAATAAATTAACATCATGTTTGATTAGCAACAAAAATGTGTGGGAGAACGAAGAAAATAATTAAGTATATGGATCATAAGGTGAACAAAAACTGGAAGAAAATAATTAAGCATATATATGGATCAGAAAACATTGTCTACTGAAAGCATATCAATTACAAACTGAGTTTGGTTATGTGAACCAACTCTATATAGCATCATATTCAAAGCTAAGACTAGATCCCTCTAACTTGCTGAGGGCAATTTGATCAAGGCGCTCAGACATCTCTGTTGTCAAGAAGTGTTTCCAGCCCCCAACAATCCCAGTCCTGAAAAAAGAACTGTTTGGCATCCCAACCCAAGGATCAATCCCATTCTTGTTCACTTCCAGGTTCTTGAGCCTCTCCAAGCTGCATCTTCGAATCACCTCCTCGACCTCCTTTTCGTTGTCAAACGGCTTTCTCAGGAACGAAGCCAGCCTCATTACTTGCTTCTTCGGGTCCTTTTTCATATCCTCATATTTCAAAAACAGTATTTTCTCAGGCATCTTTAAGCTCTGATTCCAATACTCCAAAACATGGTCAAAAAATGGCCCAAAATGGCAGACCCCATTAACAAAGCTTTCAAATGCATCCTCTAGTGGATAAGGACCTTGTTCAGGTGTTCTAAGAGTGTTCATAAAGTGCCACATTGACACAATGGTGTCTTTAGGGTTTCGGGTTATGTACACAATCTTGCACTCTGGGTATTTAATGCATTCAGGCATAGCCTTATAAGGCAAGTGAGTGTGGAAGAGTCTTGGAGAGTGCATACCTGAAAGATCAGGAGGTGGATTTGCTGTATATAGCTGGACTTCTAAGGTCTTGACATAATGGGCAGGATGGTTCTTTGTCAGAAGGTCCTCTTCCTCCTTGCCATCAACTTTGCATTGCCTCTGCATGATGCTGAAACAAAGAGCTTTCAGCCATGTGCTACCTGTTTTCATGGCGGATGCCAAAAAAATGTCATCTTTTTTGGCTTCAAATTGTGAGCGGAAGGCCTTTGCAGCTTCAAGGTGTTTTGGTCTGTACCAGAAGCCTTCCCACTGGTAGAGATCCAAGTTCTCAAAGAAAGTTTCTTTAGGCAGCAGATCTTGTAGAGGCACCGTAGTTGAATCGGATGAGTTCAGGGCAAG